ATTATCTGTTTTCTCATTAATTTTTATAATATCTATGTAAAAAATTGAACTTTTTTTCAATTGTCTACATCGGTGTCGAAGTGTCTGAAAAATATTCGAACAAACTGATCGAATTTACAAAAATAAATAAATACAAATGCAGTTTTCTTTAGCTGGTCTTAATTTGGATGAAAAATTGATATTTTCGAAAAAATTTATCAAATCTATTCGCGCATGGGCATCAAAATATCAAATCTTATCTACGTCTTCTTACAAAGTGGCATACATATCAGTTAATTTACTTTTTACTATTTTCATAGTATTTGTTAAGATACAATTATGTAATTTTGCATGTGAAAAAATACAAGTGAAACCAACCAAGATCTGAAAGTAAGTTTCGAAGAGTTTTAGTCAATCAGAAAATCATATCAAAAGTTTTTTTAAAAAAACGAATCGTTTGAAGTATCGTTGGTGGGTGAGAATCTCGTAGAAGATTGTAATTAGTTTGGCTAGTGAGGTTTTCAATATGGTAAGGACTTTTTGCTTAATAAGAAAAACAATACAGCTTTACCAAATATAAAATCGAGTGTGATTTATTGAAGAGGGCACCTCGACGTAATGTAATGGTTAGCAAGCTCATCTAACTCGGACAATAACGACTCAGTAGTGAGTTAGATCTCCCAATGGGTGTCCCATAATTTTGACCTTGTGCCACATTTAAGGTACGCATAGAAAATCACCATAAGATACTGTGAGTATTGATCCGATATTTGTCACTGTTTCTATTTTACAGCATTAGTGGCGAATCTGGTGAACAGTATTGAGAGTAACGAAAGCCAAAGAATGAAACCAATACTTCAAAACTCCGGCAGCAAGGCCCCTAATCGGCGGAACATTCTAGGTTTTCAGGGGCGTGGAATCACCTCTTAATTGCTGTTGCTCTCGGTGGTAGCATCTATTAGGGTCCCAGCTATGGGTAAATAGTAAATCCCCAAGCAAAAACAAAACCCCATGAAAGTATAAAAATAATTTTTTTTATAGCAAAATTACAACCAATAGATTTTTATATAAAAATAATACCAACGATACTCCATATAGTAAAATTACCAAGAATACATCAATCAACATGAAGGAACATTTTCATGACATTAATCCATATAATATCTGACAATTTTTTATATCAAATTGTATTCCAAAAATATAACTTCAACAAAACTACAACATAAAACACACATATCTCGTAATTATTTCCACACAAACATGCATATAAACAAAAGATCAACTACCATGTATGTGAAAGCAGAATAACATATCACATTTTTATTACTTCAAAATTCCCAAGAAAATTAAATTTCGGCATTAAAGCGACCCATAAACGTGTTGATATGCTGTTAGAGAAACAAATCAAATCAATACTTCAAATAATATTCGGAGTTAATATTCGTTGTTAAAAACAGTATATATAGGAGAGGAGGAGACTATATACAATGGTGTGTTATTTCAAACATCACTATTTAAGCGGAAACAGAAATGATTAGAATTGCCATCAGGTGAGTGACTTTGCTATAATCTTTCTATCATCTTTAGTTACTGCCAAAATTTGTCTACCATTCAGAAAGTTTTGTGTATTTTACTCATTTTCAAATTTTCCTCCGTGTTGATAATATTTATTGCATAAGACTAGTTGGAACTTTTTAAGAGGAGCCAGTTGGAATATTTCAACCAAGTGGACGCGTCATAGTCCAGCAAATATCACTATTTACCACATGTGCGTCAAAACACTGTGGCGGTGTAATGGTTAGCCAGCTTGTCTCGCTAGAACAATTACGAATGGGCAGTGAGTTCGATCCTCGCTGGGTGCCTCATACTTTCGGCCTTGTGCAGCATCTAAACCTTGTTTGGAAAATTACTGTACCTTGTAGCGCTTATACTCTCAACTGTGCTTAAATACAATGTCCTCTTTTCGTATTTTTAAACAATACAAGTCGCAGTTTTCTTTTTAATCGATGACATTTGTTTCCTTTATTTAATGAAGAAAGAGACTTTATTGCAATTCTTGTATTAAAGAGGGAGGTTACTTCAAATAATACGCTCACTTGGGACTGTCTATTAGTATGGCAGATCTTACTAGTTGGAAAATTCAATAAATACATTTTTTCAGGCCTGAGAGAGATGTATAACTACAAGGGATCGTCTGATAAATTAGTTATCGTCTGATAACTGACAAAGATGTGAAGAGATTGGTAAAGTACGCGGTACTGACAGAAAAAAGGTCACGTCGGACATTAGCAATGAGGCTAAAGTACCTCATGTTACCCTCCTAATATATTTGCTTGAAGTAAAATCCTCAATGTTTGGATGTGAAAATAGAACAGTATGAATATTTAATAATCAACAAGTTTTTCAATCAGATAAGGAGAAATATTTGACGCAATACAATCGTACGGTACCAAACCTCTACTTTGAAATGGCATTTTGGCATTTGAATATGCGATTCAAATTATCTCAAGCTTCCACATTGATGGAAAATAAAATTGCATGCAAAGGATTAGCTACAGCATTTTCTTAAGAGATGTGGAAACATTTCATTGACGGTAGCTGAAGTTTCCTCCTTTGATCATGCACTGAAACCAATCGACATTATGTGATCCTCTTTTTATAACTATGAGGATCTTCTTGAGAGCTATGGGGTCTCTAGAAAAGATCTTGAATATCAACGAAAATGGATATACAAGAGTGCAATGCCCAGGGAAAATTGCCCCCTCAGTGCCCCCCCACTGGATGCAGCTCGTTGATAAGAGCTGCTTTTGGTTATTATGACTCCTGTTCCTGATGCATGAACAAAAAACGATGGGGGTGGGGGACGATGACAATTAATTTTACCCAGGATCTTTTAAACCCTTTAAAAATGATTTTGCGCCAAATGTTTAAATTACAAATAAAAAAAAAGCGTTTATGTAAAGTGTATTCTGCTAGCCAGTGTATGTATATATGTATGCGAATAAGGTACAATGGCCGAGTGGTTTGAACGTTATTGTTTTAGCCATCAGACCCGAATTAGAATCTCGCCATGGTCAATTTGTTAGCGAGGTGAATTCTTTAAGAGATCACTTTGGGGAAACTACTCTAAAACCGTTGACTTGTGTGCATTGTCCTGATTGAAGTACTGATCACTCCAGAAACTGTAAATTCACTCAGTATAGGCGTAGTATAACAAATGTGCCTGATCAGGGGCCTGCAGTAGGGATCAGCTAACCACCACAGCAGGCGAGTATACTCCAACATATATGATTGATCATATTTGTTGCTAAAAAAGATCAAAATGGAAATATGAATTGTTTTACATATTTGAAATAATGAAAAGCACATATATCAACATGTAATGCTGCTTTGAAGATTGTTTGCTTCAAGTAAATTCCATCCTGTATCGAATTAATCGATATTTACAATGACTCATTATTAGAGATCCTATTCATTTAAGATTGAATGTAGTTAGCATTAAGTGAAGAAATTTAAGAATTTTACATCAACACGTTTTCTAGTTTCTTTTCTTTAACATACGGTTATTAAAAATGAAAAAAAAAAACTAATTAGTATTATGTATTATTTTTTACTAATACAGTGGTATGGTAGCCTACTTCTTAATAATAGATTACATGTAAATAGAAACAAATCCGGTAACTAGTTTCACCAATGTTTTTTTTTTTTTTTTTTCACTAACAAGCTGTGTGTGCGTAATCCCTATCCCCCTCCCTAGCTAATTGCCTTACAGGGTAATAAAAGTTTTTCTAGCGCAGAAATGCAAAAAAGGAAATCATTATATCTACAACTGCATAAGTCGCAGTTTCATGGCACTTTTCAATTGCTCTTGAAACCTGTTTTTTGTGCACACGTCAATATAATGCTAATTAGTATGTTTATTGCTATATAATGTTATATGTCATATATATATATATATATATATATATATATATATATATATACTTTTCTCGATCCGTATTGACATATTCCACTACTGGTTGTACTATTTACTATTCATTTCACTAAGAAGTGAACAACCCGGTCAGCAAGGTCGTAATTTTTATCATTTAGTCACTTGTATGTATTGAGCAAAATACTAAATTGCCTCCACTATATAAAACCTGACATTAGGTAAATCCATTTCTGTTCAAAGAATCGAGAGACTGACATATTTCTACCTCTTTTACTTAATTTAAAGTTACAAAAATGTTAAAAATTTACATCGTAATTTCTTTGTTTTAGCAATGAACTTAACATTTGAGATTCGAGATATTAACAATTTATTTATGCACAGACATTACATTTATTTACAGACGTATTTAAATATGGATTTTAAGCAAATAATCTGTTTTTAATCCGACATTATTTTTTATTTCTATAAACGTTATTCTAATAGTGATCTTTGTTTTATTAATTAGTGAAAATCATATTTACTGGCCAAGAGATCGAAAAATTTGATTCGTTCATGTTTATTCTGCTCACCTTTTCTTCGATATTAATGATTTTAAAATAGTTCCAAGTTTACTAATAGAATATTTAATCGATTCTTAGCGTGTGTGTACACGTGTATGTTGCCCGGATAATAAATAAACAGTTTCACGATGAAGGTCGATATTAGGGCTTGATGAGATATGGAAACATCCCTCCCGCCCTCCCTCCCTCCCTCCCTCTCCCCCTCTCTCTCTCTCTCCCTCTCCCTCCCTCCCTCCCTCTCTCTATCTTTATCTCACTGATGATTTGCATTTCGAGTGAGCGATTCCAGACTTACGTTTTTATTCATTAATTGGTCTTTTATTTTATAATTCTAACTCTTTTCAGTGAGACTTTTAATTTACAGTTTCCTTTTTGATGCTTTATTTGAAAGAATTCCGAAATCTGATCAAAATAATTCTTTTGCTTTTATTGTATGAATAATAAGATAATTTAAAAACTGTTTCATAGTTTGTGAGAAGGTTTAACTTTAATATTCATCCTATGAGATTGTTATTATATTGTTGGGCTTACGGCCACATCACGTTGAAACACCAGTTCCCGTATAATTACTGTAGTTAAGCAACGTCGAGCCTGGTCAGTACCGAGATGGGTGACCGCTCTGGAATACCAGGTTCTATAATCTTGGATGTGCGGGTAGTATAATGGCTGAGAATTGTTAATCGAAGTTTGGTTCGTTATATTTTACTTTTGCACAATGGTAAGGAATAAATAAATCCATCTTTTCTCATCCGAGCTATGAGTTAATTTGTAGGATTTGTGTCATTAAATCATTATTATCTCCACCCCCAACAAAATTCTTAGAATTTAAAAAATATTTATATAATCTGCAGAAAATGAAAAGTCAATATTTGTTATATTATCAAAGTATCGAAAAAAAATCAAACTAAACACAATAGATCGAATCATTTGAAGCGATCGATCAATTTGTTATTCATGACAGAAAATAAAACAAAGAAAATCTTTTGATGACTTAAAATTCTGCAGAACAAAAAAAAACAAAACAAAATGGACAAAGAATCGCCATAGAATCATTAAACACCAGATGAAAACTGGTGCGATTTCGGCACTTTACAGTCTCCACCTACAGATTCAGTTACCCTCGGATCTTGATTCAGTATCTCGTTCAACTTTACTTTGCTGCTATATTATTTGTTTATTTATTGTCATTTCATCGAGCTTTGGGTCGAACTGGTTTTTTTTTCCCCGGGCTGTTCCCGCTCTTTTGTCTGCTTTTGACTGATGGTCTTTTCTTTTACACAAACGCTCACCACCTGGCAACGGACGATAGTTAACGTAATTTTCCAAGGGCTTTTGATGGACAAGAGGTGGGAAAGAAGAACAGGAGAAAGAAAATAATAATCGAAGTTAGAACCGCGCCGCTATTTCGTGGTTGGCAGCGGTTAATCATTATAAAGACTATTGCTTCCGGGTTTTGTCATGGATATTTTCATTTAGGACAAAAAAAAAAAAAAGAAAGAAAGAAAAAAATACTAATCAATAACAAAGGCACATTTCTTTTTCACGTGACTGCTTCGATAAATGCTATTATAAAAACAAGCTCTAAGTAAATGAATATGTTTTTTGGAAAAGTGAACGCTAAAAAATTACGTTTAGATTTGAGTGTTACTTTCATGTGAACATCAAATTTTCTCACTACTTCACGGAAACTAAGTGGAACAGCGAAAATAATGAGTATCAACCTTTCAAGATTTTCATCATTTACTTTTTGTCGGCATTCACGTTGTTATGCGAATAAATAATTACCCAAAGTTGTGATATTTTTTAGGTGGCATCTGTTCAGCCGGTTTGGTCATTAAGAACGTGTCTGTGTGTTTAAAGAAGATGAGAGAATGTACGTATCCAAACAAATATTCGTGAGTATATATCACGCAGTAAGTTTCGATATTTACATGTAAAACTTTTGTACTCGGTAAACCTCTAAATACAAGCCACATTCATTTTTATGTATCCAAAACGTGAGCTATTTGAAATTACTTTAACTCAGCTTCAGTCACTTTTCTAGCACCGTATTGTAGCTTCCATATGCCTTTTCTATAAATACTTTCATGACAATTGTTCTGATTATTGTCTTCTCTCTATGGCACCTAAACTTTATGAATTTAAGTATTATGCTAACAATTTTCTTCTCGCTTACAAAATTCTTAGGAATTCTTGTTTCCCTGTCAACTTTGATTGTCAAAAATTTAAATGTAATGTCAACAATTATCTTTTGTTTCCTTAATTCTTGTTCATTTATTATCATCTGTCCTTAATAGTATTTTTCTCATATTCCTTAAGTTTTAGTAACTATATTGCCTTGCTTGGGGCGATATGATTAATCTCTCTATATATATAGGTGGTCCCAGAATGTGCGGGCGGTGTATCGTTCACAATGAATATGATCGCAGCTTCGAGCGGTTTTGTTTATGTCTTTTTCTTTTCTACCTAACTACCTATATATATATATATATATATATATATATATATATATATATATATATATATATATATATATATATATATGTGAAAAGTGTATATAAATATAAATAAATATATATATGTATAATTATTTATATATTATATATATGGTACTTATTAGAAAGCGCTCAATAACACAATAACACCAAAACACGCAATCTACATAAACCCAGATTTTTTTAAAAATTAATCAGTTTGTCTGAAGCGTGAAACCCAGGTCACAAACTCACATCTATCAACCAAAAATAATATATATATATATATATATATATATATATATATATATATATATATATATATATATATATATACCTATACATACTTGTGTAAGTTAGTGTATATAAAAATATAAACGCTTTCATATACAAAATTGTCTCTGTTTGAATGTATCCTTGTGCGTGTGTGTGCGTGTGTTTGCGTGTGTACGCGCATGCACGCACGTGTGTGTGTATGTAAATGCATTCACTTATATATAAATATCTATGTATGCATCAGTATGTATTTTCATGTCTGTCTGTGTGAAGGTATTGTTTTACAAATGGCGCAAGTTATTTCAGACTTATTTTTATTTCTCATTTCCCCCTCGGCTCTTCTGTTTCTTGTATTTTAACGAAAGATTTCCTGACCCTTCTCCCCACCCCCGGGTACGTATTAAAAAGATTCTCCAACATTACAACATTACACTATCATTGTTTAAATCTGTTTAGTCATTCACACACAGATACGAAGGGGTCAAATACTTAAAAACTGATGACCTTTAAGCAATACGATTTTCTTAAAAGTAAAAAAAAAAAACTCGTTTATAGGCCACTGTACTTAAATTTGACTAAATTATAAGCAACTCTAATACTAACACCAGTGTGGTTCAAGTAACTAAGAATAATCAGATAAAACGAGAGAAAGAAAAACAGTAAAATTAAAGAAAAAGTATTAGTGAATGTATCATATATTAATATATTGAAGAATTATGCCAATTCTACAATTCTATTGAAATGTCGTTTTCTCTTTATTAGATCCCAGCATAAAAAAATTAAGCAACCCGAGTACTTGTCAAAATATTAAGTTGCTTATAAAAATCGTGTAACTTCTTTTTAATAGTAGTAAAGACTCTTCAATAAGTTGGCTTGCGAAGAGATTTATATCGTCACAGTTCAAAACAAATCTAATAATTTGAATGGGAATGGAAATTCACAGTGGAACAAGTTGAGAAGATCACGTGACATCACCAAACGAGATCATCCGAAAAAAAAAGTGAGACAAGAAAAAATGAGTAAATGATGAATTAAATTCTTCGCACGATGAAAAGAAGTCAGCAAACAACACCAAGGAATGGTACATAATATAGAACATTAAAGAGAAACATTAGAAACAAATGCAGGCAGGCTCAGCGAAAAGTGTGCAGAGATAGAAAGAATGAGCATCATAGATATATAGCAACTATGCGCAAAAGAATAAAAGAAAGAACAGGACAAAAGATGCGCTCCTCGATAAAGTGCATGAAATCAAAAGAGGAAACTCTCATAATAGAAAAAGAAAAATACTTCAAAGATGGAACAAATATGTTGAAGTCTTTTGTAATGATAGAAGCAAACGTGCAGTACAAAAATAATGAAGAACATGAAATACTATAGTTTGAGATAAGCTCAGTTTTAGACGATTTTAGCAACATTCGAGATACAGCGTACAACAGTGGCAACATACTTGGAAGACCTTAGCAGTTCCAACTTAGTAACGCTGCCTAAGAAGCTAGGTGTAAATAAATTTGCGAACTTCATCGGACAATCAAATTAAGCTAGCTTATCTGAATTCTGAGGAATAGAGCACGAAGCGGAATTAGACCAAAAATAATACAAGAATAGTGTGTGTTTTTTAACGACACTGGACCAAGAAATGTAATATTTACGATCAGAATGACATCGAACAGAGCAATCTAAATGTTTATATTTCATAAACAACACAAAAGGTTTTGATAAAGATGATCTATTTGAACCTGTAGGAAAATTTGATTTATTTGGGAAAGATTATCCAGAAAATATAATTAGATTAAACTACCTGCAAACGGATAGAAAATGAATGACGTATACAAAGATAAAAAAGTTACGTAAAACAAGGATGTGACTTCGCAGCTGATTTATTTAATCTTTACATGAGGTAAATATTACAGGTTGGCACAATCTGAACAACAAAGATAAGTAGATAACAACGTGTTGATTGCAGATACAGAAAGAAAATTGCAAGAAGTCCTAGAAAAGGTAATAAAAGAAAGCAGGAAGAAAAGACTAATCCTCAATTGCAAACGACAGAATATATGGTTGTCATCAAGACAAATATTCGGAGGTGCGCGCTTCGAATGGAAGATGTCAAAATCCAGCTAGTATAGAAATTTAAATATCTGGGAAATGCTTGAAGAAACGATGGAAAATGCGACACAGAAATCGGAAGGCACTGAAATAACGAAAGTGACTCTCCAGAAGCCAAACAAAATAATAAGAAACAAGAAATTTTTGTTACAAAGATGGCTGAACTGCTATATAATATCAATCATCTTATAGGTTAGTGAATTCTGGATAATAAAGAGGAGACTTGAAGCAACAGGGATGTAGTTCTACAGAAGGATGCTGAGAATACCATGGATAAAGCATGCGAGCAACGAGGAAGTTTTAAAGAAAATAGAAACAAAAAGGACACCCTGTATTTAGGAATCAGAAGGAGTTGACATTTCTGGGACTTGTAATGAGTAAAGAGCATTTGGAGAATTTGCTACTGACAAGACATGTCGAATGCAAGAGGAGCAGAGGGAAACATCAAGCAACCTTCTTTATCTTCTGTTAATGAATGGCAGAACGCAATGAAAAGGATAATAAAAAGACAAATATTGCTAGGAGCTACAAAGGATAGGAAGTTGTGAAGAGGTATGATTGTCCACGCCCTGAAAGAAATCTAAAGTCGGTAATTTTTTTTTAATTCAACTAAGGGAAATTTTCAATTGAAAATAAATCTAACTTAAAGAAATTATCGAATTGGCAAAAAGCGACAACATTATTATTTATAAGATTATATAAGATTATATACAGGGATTTCCAATGTTTCATTTTCGAAAGATGTTTTTTTTTTACAAATATACATTACCCGTGCAGAGAATTGGGTAATAATGTAGAAAATAAAGTTTCTCTAGGAAACACTTTTTTCTATCATGAAAAGTAAAAAAATATCAACCCAGCAATATCCAGATAAATCAATCTTTTGAATGGACAAGGAAATCAAATAAATTACACAAAACCGATTTTGTCACCAGTCGAAAAGGAAAGTGTAGAATACAGAACTACCTCCGATTATCCATACTCGGACTTCGATTATCCGGACGTGAAATGAAGAGAAAAAATGAAATCGCGTGAACATTTTCCAATTATTCGAACTGAAGCCATTCATCCCAGACAAACGTTTCGGAACTTGGAAAACCCTAACCTAATCATTGATAGATCAATTCAATCAAGTTTCTCGTTGTTTTCATACAAAGAAAATACATTTGAATGATCCCAACTTAATCAAGCCAGAGATTTTCCTTTTAATGAAACTCTCAAATGCGCGTAACATGTGAAGCCAGCTTCAATATGAGATGAATTAGGAAACAGAACTGCATCGAAAAACGTTGAAGAGGAGCAGGATGACAATGATATTTGCCCGTGTCAAAGTTCAACGGCAGCAAAGCCCAATTTCAAACATCGAATCAATGATTATGTTTGATAAATGTTTAAGTTGGTTGTCCTTTCAATAAGAAGCAACCTTTACAAATGCATCGGCCATAATCCAGCTTCGGAAGTCAGCGGCAGAAAAGCCAGAAACAGGCAAAATTTAACGCATTTTTTCATAAAAAATAAACTGAACAAAACCTTAAATTAAACTTTTGAAAATATTATTTGATAATATAAATGTTACATTTCTTTCAGAAAATTACTTTTATTCTTCAATCTTCTACAATAATTTATTCATTTAATTATCTGGAATTTGGAATTACCCGAACATTTATTTTTAATCCATGTTCCAAGTTGTCCGGATAATCGAGAAATAATATGAAACGAATACTGAGGAATAATAAAAAAAATGCTTGAATCTGAAAAGAATCACATATTTAATAAGCTTTAACAAGTTTACACTATTTTCCCAAAGTTAGTTTCTGCTAATGCGATGAAATTTCAACAGTTACCCTCATAATAGAAATAAAAATGTTTAATAATTGAACAAGAACGTAGAAAATAATATAACAAGGAAAAATTACACAACTGCTTTAAAGGTCAACAATAAAAATGTTTGAAAATACTAAATTTGTCTGCTTACAACTGGCTTTAAATTTTCCTGGTATGACATTTTGCATCATTTCTGACTATCCACATCTGAAGAATTCCCTTTTCTTTATCGCCATGATTTTTATAGGTTTGTAGTTTCGTATTTCATAATAAACGGTTTAAAATGTGAATAAACACAGACAAAATTTTAATAAGTTGTTAATTTCTTTTTTGTTCTTGTTGATATTGTCATCTGTGATCAAAAAGGCAAATTTTACTCGAAAGTTATCATTGGATACCTTATTGTATATTGATCCATGAAAAGTCTATTCATAATCAAAGAAATCATAAACCAATAACGTTTCGATATTTGAAAACAGTATAAAGCGGAAACGTTCAGAACAATCGCAAGTGGCTTCTGTGATGTTCAGTGATATGTATAAAGCTTGTCCCCACAACAATGCTAAGATTTTTTTATAGGTTCCTAGTTCTCCTGGGGAAATTTGTGAGCTTCTAAAAAGCCTTTGACGTCTTTACGATCAATTGCAATTAATCATCGATTGGCAGTTTCACACCTGAACGTCTGGCGTGTTCTTCAATTGCCGCTTGGCTGATATATCGAGGATCGATCTGCTTTCATTCTACTGAATTTTACTATTTATTAATTTTTTTTTCCCAAGTAAGCAAAGTGATTATTCAGTTCTTATTTTTCCTTACAGTTTTCAATCATTTCGGTTAGACTCTTTTTTTTTCGAGACATTTTTAAAGTTTCCATTTCAGTCAATATTAACGGAATCCAGAAATGAAAATCAAGTAATCGATAGTCAAAATAAACACTTTTCAATCTTTGTGAATGTATTCTTTTCTATCGATCTCTTAATTAATGGATTCATCAATCCGGTGTTTGATTCTATTTTACTTCCAGTCTAGACATGACTGAAAGTAAAATGGAATCAATCTGATTGTATGTTAATCACCTGTGCTTTGTTGTGAGTATTATAGTGTCAGATGGACACAGAGAAAGAAACTGATTAAAGATGTAATTGGAAAAAAACTGTAGACATCAATGTGTACCGAAATAACTCACTTTTGCTAATAGTCCACTTACCATGAATTTGAAGAAAGAAAGCTTTTATACAAGGCGAATTCTTTACTCTGGATTCATAAAATTCAATATCCACCTGCACAAGTAAAAAAATGGGCTGAAGACGGATCGTAAACACACACACACACACACTATATATATATATATATATATATATATATATATATATATATATATGAAGAAATATAGTTTTAAGTTTATATCAGAGATAGAGCGTATGTAAATATAAAAATGAACATTGAAGTCAACACTCATGCTAGACGCAGTCGTCAGGCCTGATGATTGCGTCTAGCATGAAAACAGCCTGTCGCCTCTGAGTGTTGATTTCAATGTTCTTATATATATATATATATATATATATATATATATATATATTTTTTAGAAAACCAATCTTCCTGCTATCATGGTTTCTACCAGGCAGTAAAAAAAGTGAGAGAATACGTGTCTAAATATGAGAGAGAGAGAGAGAGAGAGAGAGACTGAGTGAGAGAGAGAGTGAGAGAGAGAGACTGAGTGAGAGAGAGAGTGAGAGAGAGAGGGTGTAGGAGAGAAAATCTGCGTCCAAATATATGATAGAGAATATGAGTGATCAAATTAATGCTTCACTTTGATTTTAGAAAAAATTAGGAATGCACAATATGAGAAACTATAGCAATAAAAAACCCGCTTTTTAGATTGTTTGCATGAAAGAAACCGCGAATAAAAGACAAGAATTACTCATAAACAGAATTGCTATAGAATCCAAACTTCAAATAAGTTCTTTTTTTAAGATCAATATTTTGTTTTGTTAATCCTACAGTTAACAAGTGATATGAAAATTATCCGTTAATATTTACTTAAAATTTTGCCGCATAAAACCAGTTAAGTGATAATCATACATAAATGATAAATGTTTAAATCTTAACTAAAAGAAAAGACAACACTTTTGTATTGACAATTTTTATAATAACGAAAAGAAAAGTGATCGCTTGAAAAGACGTATAAAGGAAATTAGAAGCCAACTTCAAACAATCAAGATAGTTGACATTTTTGTTTGTTTATAATCGATTCATTTTCTACCATGATTTATTGTTGTTGTTATATATACAGGCAATAAATAAAGTAACGACCGCATTTGAAACTCACAATAAAAAAATAATTACGGTCCGCAAAACGGATAATAAATAAGATTCATATTTCTCAACAGATGAGCGATCATTATTAAAGTAAATTTGCAATTTCACCATCTTTAGATGATATCGAACCTACCTTTTTTCTTATTAAAATTCTTTCAATTCATGAGCGCTTCGTTTTTTTCTTTTTTTTTTTTTTTTTTTTTTGAGTTTTGCATTCTTAATATGCACCTCCCCACCCAATAAAAAAAAACAAGAGGTGTGATATCGTGGGACCTTGTTGACTTAATCATTTGTCCTGCTCTTTGGTAACATTCCTTCCAAACATTAGGTTCAAGAAAAGGACAATCAAAGAAAGAAGAACGAGAGTGGGGTGGGGGTAAAATGGGGGGTTAAATATACTGAACTAGGCAGAAAAAATATTAAATTTATGTCTATATTGCAACTGATTGTATTACGAGCAATGCTACCCATTTTGATACCTTCAAATAATATGTAAACACGGTTTCATTTGAGTTCAATGGGGTTAGCTGGAAGTATGTAGTTAATAAAGAAATTAATAAAAGAAAGATGAGGTGAGCGAGAGACGGATGGGAGGTATGGAGAGTTGAGGTAACACAGTAAACTGGATCACTAACTGCGTCACTTAAACGGCTGACCATTCATTTCATTACAAAATAAAAGCATTTGTTTGATGACTTTTCTAAGGGCAGCAAACATAGGAAAAGCAGTGCAGTCATGTAACATGACCTCTTCTGTTTGATCATTTTGTTATTGTTCGGTTAAATTTCATTTGAAGTTGATGGATGAGAATTGGTCAAATTTTACTAAACGCTTCCATTCAGTTCTGTTTATCTAGCATTTTATTCTGCTTTGTTTTGATTTTTCATTTTAGTGCTCTTTATTCCAAAGTTGCTCAAAGATTTCGATGCAATGCGATGTTTTTAATACGCGAATATCAAAGGCCTGCTGTCCAGTTATGTCTTCTTTGATCCTGCCAATTCAGAAATCAGCAAAGATTAGAGCAACTCAAATTGATTTCAAGTTGAGAAAATGGAAACAATAACGATCATGATGATGATGATGATCATCATCATCATCATCACTTTAATGATAGCAATAAACAAAATGACAAGGTAGTGGACGAATTTAATCAAGGTTTTGACAACGAGAAGAAGAAGAAGAAGAAGAAGAAGAAGAAGAAGAAGAAGAAGAAGAAGAAGAAGAAGAAGGAGGAGGAGAAGAAGGAGGAGGAGGAGGGGGAGGTGGAGGAGGAAAGGGAGACATCAAGGGAAAATTAAAGAAGAGAAGGAGAAAAAAGAAGAGAAAGAAGGAAAAGGAGAAAAAGTAAAACAAGGAATTTTTAAAATTTAATTTTTTTTTCCTGAAGCAAAAGAAATAATGTTGAAGTCAAAATGAACTGTTAATGAATTACAAGTATTTAGTCGCATAATCTTTGCAACGGTCCTTTATGTTATGCAATATCATAAATACGTAAGATGTTATATAATATCAATTTTCCTACATGGTAGTGACTGCTGGATTTATTTCCTCACAGATGAAGAGGAAACTAGAGACAAAGAATTGTGGTTCTATAGTAGGAGGCTGATAACCCGATGGACGAAAGCTGCGACCAACAAAAAGTTTTAAGGGAAACAGGGACAAAAATAGCAAATATTTAGTATCAGTAAGAAACAGCGGCCATTTCTGGGACATACAATGATGAAAAAAGGGGCCTCGGGAATTTGACAAGCAAAGGGCATATGAAAAGCAAGAGAGAGAGAAGAAAACAACGAGTAACCTACATAACGATCTTGTGTAAATGGATAACAAAACAGATTGCAATGCGACAAGAAGAAAGAGAAAAATGAGGAATGAGAGGGAGAAATAGGGATGGAGAGAGATAAATGGGCAGAGAAAGAAAGAAATTGAAAATAGGGAGGCAGAGAGATTGAAAATGGGGAGGGAAACAGAGAGAGAAAGAGAAAGATTCGCTCAGAGTGAAGTACTCACGGACTGGCACACAAGAAGCAATGACGTCACCTTGAACAAAGGTCAATGTTCACATATATCTATATTTCTCATATGCAATAACAAAAAGAAGAAACACACACACACACACACACACACAAGCTATTACATGTGAATGAAAAAGAAGCAGAACTATATCTACATAGTCGTACGTGAAATGCACACAAAAATGCTTGCTTCTATTTCCACAGATGCGCTCACTTAAAACATGTTCGTACACAGTTATATGATATTGTATATTTGCATTATGCAAATCATTTCAACAGAAAGAAACCTAAAAAACATTATCGCTGCGATACAGTCATATCCACCCAGGAATAAAGGCGGAAATTATTTGAGAAAAAAATGTTTGCTGGAACGAAAGTGAGGAATTTCGATTCAAATCGAATTCATTGACCTGAAACTTAATGAATTTAAATAAAAATGGCTCCTGTTTGCTTTGATTATTAAGCGACACTCTGAAATCTCAGGCGGTCGTAATTTCTGACATTAACGAGAAATTGAACATCAACTCAGCAAGAACGGTAAACAACACGAAACCTTTGATCAAAGTATGGCTCTTTTTTTTTATTAATGAATTTATGAAAGGAGTAAAGCTCACTGCTTCCCATTTATGAACGACAAACGAGAGCGACGCCTCCAAAACTATATCCAATTTTCTGAGATTATAAACAAAGCAATGAGAACCATTAAATGGAATCTGAATCAATTATTTTTCTAGGGTATATTTCAAATGTTTCAGCTATCACGAACACATACACACAACCACTCACACACACACAGACTCTCTCGCTCTTTCTCACGCACACACACACACACACAAAGGGTGCGGTTGATAAATTGTTTAAATTACGCAAAAATGAAAATAACACTGATATCTCATTTTAACCAAATATATATTTACCAACATCACACAAAAATATCTTGAAATAATAAAGAGTAGATTTATTTAATAAAAATCACCATTGACTTCAACCACGGTCTCCAAACGACTTCAGAATCTCTTGCAACTCTTCTGGATGGTCTCCTTGTTTAAGTTGGTGAATGCTGCTATAATCCTTGCCTTCAATTCATCTTTGATGTTACAAGGAGTTTTGTTGGTCTCTCGTTCAACTGTGCCGCACACATCAAAGAGGTTGCAGTCTGGGGAGTTAGGTGACCAGATGTAAGTTTTGATGCGGTCGCAGAAATTATCTGACAGCTTTGTCTGGGTTCTCCTGCTTATGTGTCATAGTGTAGATTCCTGTTGCCAGACACAAGGTTTTCCAGCACCCCCCTCCCTTGAACTAGGACATCACTACCAGCTCAAGGCACTGTGAGAAGATGAATGGAATCATAATGTCACCATCACGAGTGATCACTCCAAACACCATCATGCTGACTAGATATATCATTCGACCCTTTCCGAATCTTCTGCATGTAAACACTCTGAAATGTTCGTATTGTGGCGTGAATGCCAAGCAGTACAGCATGCCATTTCCAAATTTCTGGCGGAGTGAATTTCGTCATGATGATGATCTTCACACAGACGGTGCCCAACTGACCCTACTATAACCTACCGGTCTACGAAGACAAAAACAAACAATATAGCGATAATTTACCCATCGCACCATGTATATATTAGTTGTATGCAAAGATTTTGATTTTTTTCCTTTTCATCTACTATATCTACTATTCAGAAGAAACAGCTCTGGAAAATTATATATATATATATATATATATATATATATATATATATATATATATATATATATATGGAGAGAGAGATAGTTTGTTTATGAAATCTATTACCTTAAACATTTATTTTAAAAATACATATAAAGCTCAAAGTCTGTATGTGTTCACTGAAACTGTTAAAAATATATATATATATATATATATATATATATATATATATATATATATATATATATATATATATATCTGTATGTGAGTTTGTGTGGGTTGTGTGTGTGTTTGCATATGTGCGTTGGGGGTGTATATAGAGATTAATGTACATTTAAAAGGAATGTTACCGTTTTTAATAGTATATTTTGACAATCTAACGAATATTATGAATTACATGTCAAATATGATATAAATAAATATCATTCCGATAATGAATAGATGTCTTTAACAAAAAAATATTTAGTAGTTTTGATTTGATAAATTTTTGTGAAGCCATAGCGCCTCTAATGATCAAAATGTTATATCAATCGTAATACATTCGGTCTTCAGCCCTGTAATTGCCCTAAAACTAAGCTTAGGAAATAACAGTCCTTTACTCATGAAATGTCAAATCTGACTTCTGGTACCAATTATGAAAAATTGTTAGAATATTGACCTGCAAACAGAAAGTATTATTTCTTTTATACGAATTGTTGTTAGATTTGACAGCACATTCCCCCAAGGGAAGTAAAACTCCATTTTAACTTTTAATAGTGCCTTTTACTCCACTAAGGAACATATTTTAAGTCTTGCTTTTTTTTTTTTTTTAAATACCAAACAAATATTTTGATTATTTTCTTTCTATCGAGACGGAAAGTACTAAAATACAATATGTGCTGAGATTTCAAATACAATTTATGATCTGTCAGTGTATCCTGATTTTGTGAAATTTTGCAATCGTATACGGGCACTAAAGTGGTTAAAATAAATTCAACCGGCCCGTTGCTTACGCAATATGCAAATATGAACTGGAAACAAGCAAAAATTTATTTACAGTCAGTCTAGTATTTAAAATCTCCATTAGTTCTCATTTCTTTCCAATTAAGGATATTCTGAAAGCCAACTATTCCGATTCTATTAAGCAAGCAGTTCACAGAATGCATCGTCTACAGAATGAATTTTAAGGAAGAATGTTACTGAAGGCAACAATCGTGAGGAAAAGTTTAATTGGCGGATTTGTTATATTATTGCAACAAAATCCTTGAAACCATTTCACTGATAGAAGAAAATAAACCTTTGCAACAGATCATAGAATTATACAACAAAAAACACGTTCAATGATTCTCAACAAGTCAAGCATATGAAGAAATAAGCTCGATTGGATATCTACTTGCTTTCTTCTACTTATTCGAGAATTAATATAGCTTTGACTATTCACATTGGCTACCAAACTAGGAGGGCTTTATTTCCGAGCTCAGTAAATAATCTCCATACATTATAAGCCGATATTACGAGAAGCGCAATGACACTATTGGAAGATAACAAGTTTTCAGCTACAAAACAAATTTTTCTACATGTCACCAACATTCTGTTTAATCATTTCTCAAGCAAGGCGATAATTCCACTAAGACGCAGGGATTACTGAGAATAAAAGAATCTGAGAAAACGTTACTGAGGAGAAAGGAGAATCAAAACCAGTATTCAAGGATGATTGACGTTGTATTTAATTCTTTGAAGATCGTAAGTGGCATAGAAGCAATAAACCAGAAACAAGTTCAATAGAGGTGAGAGAGAAATGAGAGAGAAGAAACTATTAAAATTGAACTTGTGTAGCACATAGTCAGAAGTCATCGTGACAGAGTGTTCAAAATTACTGACTTTTTTCAACTACTGATCCTGCAAGATTGTGCGCCCTTTACCAGAAACTTTAATCAACGTTTGGTTAGTAAAAGTAAAAGTATGTTTATATTTCTTCAACACCCACAGAGTCAAACTGTCCTAGTTTGACTCTGTGGGTGTTGAAGAAATATAAACATACTTGAGGGATTAGCTAAGGGGCATAATTAAAAAGATTGCCTACCATTACACACACACACACACATGATATATATATATATATATATATATATATATATATATATATATATATATATACTAGTGTACTCGTGCCGTCAAAATGGCAAGAAGGAATGTATTTTAAGTAATATTATATATATATATATATATATATATATATATATATATAGATAGATAGATAGATAGATAGATAGATTGTAATTATCATTTAATACAAATACAATTTTGTAATTTAAAATTGTTTGTTGCTAATGTTAATAATTGAACTTTTTAATTCTGCTGAAAATTTCGAAATGTTTTATGTATTTTTAAATTTTCTATTTCCTTGAATTTATTTCCGCATTTGTTTTTGATATGTGTGTGTGTAAGTGTAATTATTTTAGCATTTTATTATTCATTCATTATTGCAAATTTTCAAAACAAGACTTAATATCTATTCTTCTTCCTTTTTTTTACTTTTGTTTACAAAACCAAATTTCAAAGCAAATATATCTTGAATGAGTCCAGGCCAGACAGAGCAATGGTGTCTCCGCTTCAATCCGAAACATACAAAAATAATTCATTTATCTTATGGAAAATAATTTTTTATTCAATGTTTAAAAAATGAACTTCATTGTTTGTTTTTGGTTT